TTTTTTTTTTTTTTTTTTTTTTTTTTTTTTTCACTTAAAAAATGTACAGTACGTCATGGCGCTTAAAACGCCGCAGTGCTCGCATATTTATAAACCAAGGCGATTAAATGCTTACAGGTGGAAAATTTTAATTGGCTTGGAAAAGCCCATTTTGACAAGCGAGGAAGGTGCAATTGAATGCAATCAAGCCATCAATAATTATGTAAACAAACAAAAAAAGGGACATGGAAAAGGATGTATATAATCCCCATGTTTTGGAAATATGTGTCCATATTTTTCCATGCAAAGCTCTTAAGGAAAAATGCGCCCCCCGCCTTATTGTTGTACTGTTTGTGCCATTTTTTTGCTGTCCCTCTGTTCGCATTTACGTTATGAAGAAATTATGAATGGCTCCCTTTTTTTTTATTTTTTTTCAAACCATTTTGACGCGTCCACAATGTTCGACCTTGAACTTGTTAGCATATTGTAGCACGTGGACAAATTCTCACAGCCCTTTTACGGAAAAAAAAAAAACAATGCTCCTTTTTTCCGTCAATGTAGAAAAGTTCAGTGCATGGGAAAAGTTGTTCCATACACAAGAGGTGGATCCCATTTAACGCAAAACTTCCTTTAAAAGGATCACACCTAAGCATGGTTGCCATGTGCAGACCCACGCATAAACGAAAGTGTCTAACTGATAATACCATTTGTTATAGCTATCATATAGAATCCTTTTCCTTAGGAGCAAAATGAATGTGTATATGGAGGTATGCACACGTGGCTCCCCTGTGATGGAACATTATACGTGCGTAAGTAGCACAAGTGAAATGGTCCACACGGGGAAAAACTCATCCGCGAGTAATCATTCACATGTGGTTCCTTTTTTGCTTTCAAAAAATGCCAATCCATTTGACGCAAAACAGGCAACTGACATTTTTTGAAAGCACATTGTGTGGTAATTTTATGTTTTCTCCACACACATAAACACCTGTGTACGTAAATAACTCGGGCATGGGTATCCATCCCTGCCCCTTTTAAAAGTGACTCAATTGGATGGAAAAATAAAATTGTGCCAAGAGGCACTCCCATGATGGGGCGTTTGACAAATGTTTAGCCAATTTTCCAAAAAAAAAAAAAAAAACGTGTTTCAAAAAATGGACCAAAAAAAAGAAGCTGAGGGTGTAGCGCTAAAGCAACGCCACATAATTGGGGGAAAGGTGCGAAAAAACATGCACCCCGTATGTGTACAAAATAGGAACACATGGGAGTTATAAAAAAAACAAAAAAAAAAAAATTATGGATACTGTCAAAAAGGGAGTGCGACAGGTGTATATAGCGACATATGTGTAGCTGAGCAAAAAAGCTACAAACACTGGAGGGAAGGAAAGGTGATTGGGTGTGGGCTGATTCCCTCCTCCATATATACACATTTGGCATCTCGCAACAGCGTATAATATAACATCACACAATTACGCATTTTTCATGTAAAAGAACAGTGGGCCCAATTCGCAAAGCCATTCAGGATCGACAGTGGTCACATTACGCATGAACTCCTTTGTGGTAAAAACAATTTCTTGATATACAACATAATCAGGAGTGTAGCCAATGTTATATAGGGACGAACTGGGATGCACATGGCAGGATACATTTGTCCTCAAATTAACATACTCGGAAATGGATTTCAACTTTGCAGCATTGTGAAAATAACCAGAGCATATAGTTTTCCTTACGCATTCCCATTTATTATTACAAGAAACATTTTTGATTTTTAGCGTTTGAATTATGTCACTCAGTTGTGAATATACTTCCTTGGCTTTATTGAGGGACTTATATTGAATGAAATTTTTTGAGCACCAACTTGGGGAGTAATTATGGGAACGCCATTGTAGGTATATATTTAACAATGTGAGATGGTCACTCTCTGGGACAGTAAATTTTTCCTTTTTTGATTCTATAGCTTCGCTATTTTCTTTGGCTTCTAAAAAAATTGCTGCTGAGGATAGCATACTAACAATGATTAAAATTTCTTTGGTGCATTGAAAATTTTCACTATATATAACAATTTTGGACAGAGGAGGATCAAGGGGGAAAAGAATCATTTTCTTCCCAATGTCTGTTAAATTGCCTTCATTATTAATAGCACCCAATACCCACAATTCGTGTAGCGAATTTATAATACTTTCTCTGCTAGGTATATCAATAAAATCAAAGTCAAAAACATTTTCAACATTTAACGATTTTAGTAATAAGACGACATTTGCTAAATTGCTTCTCTGTATTTCTGGAATATTATTTGGGTACAAATCACAGAGGAATGTGTTTTCTGTATATAGGCGGTAACATATACCTGCCCCAGTTCTGCCCGCTCTTCCTGATCTTTGATTTGCATTCGCTTGCGAGATGGGCGTAATTTGAAGCACGTCCATTCCTATTTTCTGATTATACACCTTTAATTTGCAGTACCCAGTGTCGATGACATATTTTATTCCGTCCAGTGTGAGTGACGTTTCTGCTATATTTGTTGATACAATTATTTTTCGCAAATCGTATTTTTGGAAAATTTTGCTTTGCTGTTCACTGGATAATTGGGAATAAATAGGGAAGACGTAAAAGGGATGGATCACATTTTCTGATTCGTCTTTCTGTGTACTGTTTCCTACGTCAAGGGGTTGTGGGCCATAATCGCTCTCATCCCCACTGCAGTCATTATTATGGTCCGAATGATCGGGTTTGTTTTCCCCTGGATTTTTTCCCGACCCATCGGGTTTATCCTTGATAATGCTTCTAATCTTGTTAAGCGTGTTCTTCTTATGACTATTGGATTCTTTATACGACTCGTATACCTCGTAAAAACGCTCACTGAGGAGATAACACGTCGCATTTATGTCTTCCTGCCCCGTCATAAAAATTAGGATATCCCCAAAATTGTTGTCGTAATTATTATCCGAGATGTGAATTTCAATAGCTTTTTGCACAGCACATTCTATGTAGTCATTACAAGGGCTTCTTAAATATTCTAAGTGCACCTTGAAAGTTCTACCTTGGATGTTGTATATGGGGGCATTTCCAAAAAATTCTGAAAACTTTTTCGAGTCGATGGTGGCTGATGTGACCAACAGTTTCAAGTCGTTTCTCTTTAGACAAATATTTTTTAATATACCTAACAGTACATCTGTATTGATTGACCTTTCATGCGCTTCGTCCATTATGATGACACTATATTTGTCCAGATCCTTATCGGTTAATGTTTCCCTTAGTAGAATACCATCTGTGACGTAACGAATTTTGGTATCCTTTGTTGTGTTGTCTTCAAATCTGATGGTGTACCCAACTAGGGATCCTATTTCAACGTTCATTTCGTGCGACACTCGATAAGCCACTGAAACGGCGGCAACTCTTCTGGGCTGCGTGCAGCAAATGATTCCATTTTTATGATAGCCATCTTCATATAAATATTGCACTATTTGTGTCGTTTTTCCAGAACCCGTTTCTCCCACGATGATGATAATGTTGTTGTTGTAAACTGCATCTAACAGTTCCTTTTTGGATCTAAAAATGGGTAGCGATTGTTTCAATTTTAGTAGATCTGCCTTATCCTGCAGGGTGCTTTTTTGCTTCTTACTTTCTAGGTTAAAAATAGTGCTGTACATTTTGTCCTTCTTGTAATCGAAGATGTCTGTATTCGTTTCGCCATCTCTGTCTTCATCTTCGGCGAAGTCCCCACTTGCGCCATACTTGTCCGACGAATTGGTTTGTTTCTCCTTGTACATTTTTAGCAGTTCCCCTAATTTGCTTCTCCCGATTTCCCAGTACCTATCCCTCGCCTTGGAATTTTCACTTTCGTTTTTGAAGTATCTTAAAAATTCGCTTCCCTTCTTTGCCGCTTTTACAAAATCGCACGTTTCGTCTTTCACCACAGTTGAGTAGGACGTGCTGCTCTTTTTCATGTCATGCGAAACGGCATTCCATTGGTCAATTACGCTATTCTGTTCATGGTTCCCTTTTGTTTCCCCTTCTCCGCGCTGCGTGTCATTCTTTAGTATTTCGATAAAGGACGGCGTTATGTGTCTTGTTAAAACAACCTTCTTAACTTCGTTCGTATTATTGGCTTCGTTAATTTTGTCCAGTTGTAACTTATTGTATGTGGAATGCACTCCTCCTTGTTTTAGCTTATTCAGTTCCCACAGGTTATTGTCTAAATTTTTCTGATTTACCTTTTTACCTGCACTGTTCATCCGTGTGGAGAAATTGGCTAGCATTTTTTTCTCTTTGTTGTAAGTAGAATCTATATCCATGTTGTAACATGAATCAACACAATCGTCTTCTTTGGAGTACCAAATTTCGTCCATAATGCGATCGTAATTTCTTTTGTAGTATTCCTCTTGCTTTTTTTTATCATCGAGCGTCCTTTGGTCATTGCCTTTTGTAATTGTGTTTCGGCGGTGTTGGTCTTCTCTAGAGCGACGCCCGTCTCCAGCACCACCCGTACTGCCGCTTCTGCTGCGGCTGGACTCCGACCGGTCATCACGCGCAAGTTCGTCCGACTGCGAGTTGGTATCTACGCTACTGGCACGCTTTTCATTTTTGTATCTTCCACCAAAGTTGCTCTTTTTCGTAGAAACGGGATTTCCCTTGTCCTTTTTTGGAAGATTATTACTTCCCCTTTTTACAAATACGAACTCCTTATCAACAGCATGTGCATTTTTAAAGACGTTCCCTTGGATGACGTTACTACTGCCCTTCTGTTTGTCCCTATTTATTTTTCTACGCTTAAAGGTGAATTTTTCATCGCATGGTTTGCTGCTTACTTTATCCACTGCTCCGTCTGCGTCATCAGATGAGGACGAGTTGTATAAATAAGTTTTCGCTATCATTCGGGTAAAACCAAGAGGGCGAAAGAAAGGGACAACAAAAAAAAGGGGGCAGAAAAAAGAAAAGACGTAGTAACCAGTGTAAAACTCTACAGCAGAAATGTATCTACAAATATGAGCAGCAGTCCCAAACGAACACCAGTTCGCACATGGGTGAGGCTGGAATTCACTTGTTTTCGGTGGACAGAAGCGAATCTTTAAAAGTGGCTCGGCCGAATTCGCCTCTTTTTATGCGGTTGCACGGAGGTGTTATCCTACACGTAGCGCATACGTAGTGCCGCAAGCGCCAGGGGAAATATGCACACTTGTATGTACATATAAATACATACGTATATTACATATACCCCCCTGGCAATCAATTTCCCACTCATAAAAAACTTTATTTATTTGTTTGTAGCTTTTTTAAATAAAGTGGACGATTATGTAGTGGGTCTTTTTTTGTTCATCGAACGTGTCTTTCTTCTCGAGCGCTGGAATGCTGCGTCTACACAGCAAATCGATTAAGACCACATGGGGTTCAAATGAAGAAGTCTAGGACGTTATTTTCAGAAATGTTTATTTATTTATTTTTTTTTTTTTTCTTTACCTACATTGTCTGACGACTAGCCATTTTGTTTTTCTTTTTATGGAAAACTCGTTTTGGTGTTAATTGAGTCACTCATAACATTTTCAATTCCGTCGGACACTTGTCTGTAAGAATATTCCGATGGGAAACAAAAGGCTTCGCAGTTTGTTTTATGCCCATAAAATGGGGAAGACACCGAATGAAGGACAAATGCGAAAATGTATAATAAGTGGGTATATAAAAAAAAAAAAAATAAATAAATAAAAGATACTCAAATGAGTGGTACACTAATGTGAATATATTTATCATACGAACGTGGCTATTCCGCGCGCAACTGGGCATATAAAAATATAATGCCTTTTTCTCTTTCCATTCGTATGGTACAACTCTTTTTGCAAAAACATATTTGAGCAGACGGCATAATTAAAAAATAGTACTATACGTAAACCCAAATCGCCTATATATATGTTCTGGAGATACTACAAAACAGATTTAAAAATGTATTTGGCCGCGTTATTTAACTCATATTTTATTGCTTTAAAACTTTATATTTCCATTTGCAAAAAAACACTTTCTCCCTTTTTTGTGAATGAAAATATTTTACCACTTAAACATACAAATATTATGTTCAAAATGTAGTTACAAGTTTTCTTTAATTTCTGCCAGCATCTATCAGAAATGCGCAAATGAATAATATATATATGTGGGGTTATTCTGTGAACGTTTGTTTTTTTTTTTTTAAACGGGTATTTTATAACGGCGCGGGGCCACATCATCATTTATATATATAACTGCTTCCGTAGATCATCCTGCATACGAAAGAGTACAAGGAAAAAATTTGTTTATCAAAAATAATTGTTAAAGTAAGAATAATTCCTTTTTTTAAACAACTTTGTTTAGTGAAAATTAGCCTTTGTCCTTACTTTTTTTTTTCTTCTTAAGGATGTAGAAGTAGAAACGGAAAGAAGCATGCGCGAATATGCATATATATATATATATATATTTATATAAGTACTACGTATATGTAATTACTGCGTACATGCAAGTACTGCGTATAAGTACTACGCATATGTAGGCACATATGTATATATATGGGGGCTTTAATTTAAATCATGTCGTTACATATGGCCACTTGTATGTAACATTCAATGGAGCCACGTGTTTAGATCATTAAATATATATATATTTTTTTATATATCAGTTTATTATAAGCATTTTTATGTAAATATGTATTTCATATTATGTACACCCCACGTTTAACCATGTATGCAAAGCGAGTATAAGCATATGCTGGCGCTAGCGCTATGGTGTATATTTATATATTACCAATCTGTTTTTAGTGACGAGGAAAGTTTTAGCGTTCTGCACATTTTGAAGCTACGCGAGGCGCGATACGTGAGGTAGACGCCGCTCTGCTCTATGCATCTATGCTCACCGCATGTTTGTGAAAGACGCCCATATAGCTTTTTTCATTTTTGCCTATATAAAGTTGAACCCTCTTTTTTTTACGTATGCCTTTTTTTTTTTTTTTTTTTTTTGTTTTGTTGTTTATCTCTTTTGATATAAATAATTCAAGAGATTCTCCATAGACCATATGAGGTTGAGGACCGGGTGCACTCATGTTGCTAGTAGTGGGGACACTTGAACGTGTTTTATTTTGCAAATGCAACTTTTAATGTGTAAAAATAAAGGCGATTTTTAGCTGCGTTTTTTTTTTTTTTGTTTGTTTATCAATTCTTGGTTATTTTTAATCTGCCTTTATGTCATAATAGCCTGTACCTCCTTGTCCCCCCTTTTTTTTTTTTTTTTTTTTTCTTGGCTGATGTATATAAGATATGGAAAATGTGTGTAAGGAAAAGGGGAAAGAAGAGTTGTTGACCATAGACATTATACTTACCAAATACAAGCAGTATGTAAATGGAGCAATAAGAAATGAGGAACTGAGGAGGTACATAGAACGGTTTATGTTCCAGTACAATTGTCTGGATGAATGTGAAAAGAAATTAATGGAAGTCATAAAAAGATGTGAAAATTTTGAATGTAAAAAATTTCAAGCTCAGTATCTGTTCATAACAAATATACTAAAGGAAATATGTCACATGGAATTGATCCCAATAATATACAACGAAATATTAGAAGAGAGGAAAGCCAAAAGTGAAGCTTCCTACCTTAGTAGGGATTACTACATAGAGGCAGAGAATCAGAAAGATGCAGAGGAGAATTTCAAAGCCATCTGTGAAAGGGTTTATAAAAAGTACATCCTTGTGTTTATTAAGCAGTTGTATTACTCATCCAATTTACCATCACATTTGTTAAACAACCTAACAAGTGCACTGTCCTGTATGTGCATATTAATATCCAAGTATGATACATTTAGAGATCCCAATGAGAAATTTTCAGAGCTTATATATAGAATATTTTGGAATTATTTTTCCCAAAGTTTTCATTTTCAACATGAAAATTATATTTCCCTGGAGGAAAATGATGATGATAATGAAGACGGGTATGATACGTCATCTTCCTACTACAGTGAATTGCTAAATGAGGACACCTGCTTCCCCTACAATAACGTCCATAATATTTGTAGCGACAGGAGGAGAAAGAATTCAACGAATGAGTTAGGGTCTGCGACTGCTCCTGTGACTGTGTCCCTTGCAGCTGAAAGGGAGACCAGCAATGTGCAGAGAAGGAAAAAAAGGAGGGCAAGGAAAAATATTGAAAAGTCGAAAGATGCAAAAAGGGAAAGTTGCGCGAATGAACAAGTTGGAGAACATTTGAAGAAAGAGGAAGATCCCTTTTTTGCAGGCCACCTTCCCCCAGCAGCTGATACAGCTTGTGGGATACAGCGGCAGGGTGATATGCAGCATGGAGGTCATGACACCGTTCGGGGTGTGAACTCCGCTGAGGGATGCCGTCCCGTCGAAAGTTGTGCCCATGGCGAAATTGAAAACGGACGTAACGACCAAGCGAGTGCAATGGAGATGAGCGAAACATACGCCAAAGTTAATAAGCGACTGCATGCGCATAGTGGTCACAAAGAGAAGAAAAACATAAAAAGGGATAGTGAGGGGATGGAATTAGGTAACTCCTCCACCTTGCTGAATGCAAAATGTACACGAAGTAGAGAGCACAGTGTTGTCCATAGCAGAGATAACGACAACATAAGCAGTAACAATACTCAGGAATTCCATACAGGGCAGGATGTAGATGAACTGATAGGAGGCGAGAGGAAGGACGCCGATGGTGCGCCGTCTATTTGTCCGCCTGTCCATTGGGGTCATGAGGGGGTGGAGAAGTTGGCAAAGGTATATGACGACAAAGGGGGGATCGCCAGGAGAGGCCTCGCAAGGGGGAATACAGTTAGACATCGAGGTGGGTACACAGGAGGATATGCAAACGGGAACGTACGAGGCTACACAAGCGAGTACCCAAATGATCAGCCCGCAGGGATTCACTCCGAACGTCTCACCGAAGCGACAACCCAGCGGAGAGACTCCTGCCTCAGCGAACAGGACCTGAACCACGAAAATATCATGTTCGTGAATGTCCTTCTAAATGTGTACGTAAATTTATTTAACACCAGAAGTAAGAAGAACCTCTTGTTCTATCATGACAATCAAGTGGCTTACAATGAGTTCCTACTCGACAATGTTGAAATTGTGATTGACCAAATGAAGAACATGCTGAACAAGATCAGAAACAACTTGAATGAATCCATAATTTATTTTTTGAAATTGAAGTTTTTAATTCTTCTCTTTTTGATTAAGATTGCGAAGAGAAACTCCAAAGGTGGGAACGCGGGGAAGTCCACGGAAAAATTGAAGAAGCAGATCGAAACGGTTCTCGGTGGCGACAACCAGCAGGTCATTGGAAGAGGTGCATACATGAATATGAATAGCGATAGCTATGCTATTGGTCACAACTACGCGAATGGCCATGGGTATGATAACACCTGTGGAAGTTACTACGGTGGTAGCGGGTCCCAGAACTACCACGGCAACCTGAACGACTTCCAAAACGGTTACCCGAATACCCAAGAGTCTGATTTCTTTTCCATGTGGAAACGGAACGAATTCGCGGAGGGCAGTAAAATTTTTGTGGACCCCCTAAGTAACAGCAGCGTCATTAATAGTGTGCACACGGCGTCTGCTCGGAGCAGCATCTGTGGAGTTCGCAGTACATGCGGCTACATGGCAGGATACGACCGTGGCATTAATAACGCTCTGCAGGAAAGTGTAATGAGTGGTAGCCTCTACACGAATGGCCACAGTGCCACTTACGCAGATGGTAGTAATAGCACCCCCACTATTGATAATAACATAAACGACAACAGCATCGACCTGAGTAATTTTGGTGAAAATTTGAGTGGAGATTACAATTGTAGTATGATGAGTAGGAAGCCAGAGAGTGACTACATGGGGGGCAGGAATGAGTACAGTGGTGCGTTTAAAGCAATTACGGGTGGAAGTCAAGATGACGTAATAAGTCCACGTAGGTATGCAACTTCATGTGGAAGCCAATATGGTGTGCTAAATGTTACTAAAGATGGTTCTGCACGTGGCGCTATCCATTTGAGTAAAGATTCTCGTAGAAGTAGCAGTAAAGATGGGCTCATAAAGGATAAGATATACAATAACGTAAATACTAACAATTGCAATGGGAGCAGTGATGGGGCGTACAGCATCCCCAACTACAATAGGTATGGTGCGTATCACGTGCAGAACAAGGAGCAGATTGTTTCACCGGGGAAGGCCAAAAAGAGCGAGCATAACATGGAGAACGACCCGGTCAGCAACCACTATTCGCCTGGTATCTTTAGCAATAATGATTCTGCTACAGGGATGAATGACATCTTTTTGAGCAACATGAAGAACAACCTGTTTTCGAACATGGTTGTAGGTAATCAAGAGGTGGATGGCGTTGCACCCCCAGGTCAAAGCTATCCTTACCATGGCAACAGCTTCCCGTTTTCGAGCAAAAATAAGGCGGAAATGGGGGTCATGTGGAATTGCCACGGGGACGTGATAGACGGAGAGGAAGGAGCACAAGTTGTAGATGTGGTAGAGGAAGAAGAAGAGGAAGAAAGAAGGAAGAGGAAAAGAGAAATTGAGACAGAATGGGAAGAAGAATTGAATGCAGGAAACGAATATCAGATGGATTACATAATTTTAAATCGTGATTTTTTAAGGAACAGTGTAAAAAAGAGTACATACGAAATTGTAAGGGATATGATAAATAACTTATATAGCAATAGCTTGTTAGAGATGATGGACATCCTGGTGAAGTGTGTAGAAATGAATTTCAAAGATGAGAATCTTACATTAATTAATCGAATTTTTTCGTGTATGTTAAAGGGTATAAAATATTGCAGTGCATTGAACAAGTACAAAATTTATGTGTTTATTTTGAGCAAAATCGACAAGCTTATTAAGAGTAAAAGGTATGAAGAGAATAACTCTACATTGAACAATTACAGCTGCTATTTTTTGCTGAATTTGATTTTTAATTTGTTTAAGAGGGACAACAATAGGAAAAGAAGAAACATATGGTACTTGCTGTTCGAGGTCCATGTAAATAAAATGAAAAGGAAGAAGATTAATATGAAGATGAACATGGTCAAGGGGGATGAGCCACAGGGTGGCATGTACCCTCCCCATATGCATGACGTAAATGATTACATAAAAAAGAATAAAAGTAAGAATGGCGAAGTGGTAACAAAAATGCTGATATCGTCCCTGATAAAAAGCAATGAAATGAATAAGCATCTCAAAATGGAACCAAAGAAAAGCAACAGCATAAGCGCGTCGGAAAACGAAAACGATTTGATGTCCTTATGTGATGGGAAGAATTTTCTAATAAATAATATAATAAATTTTTTGCTGGAATGTTGTATTAGCAAAGGGTGCATTGTGAGATTCATGAGCCTCAGAATCTTCTACATGATGACCATCCTGTTTATCGAATTTATCAAAAATAGGTCTTTAAGTTATGAAGAGAAGCTGCTTAAAAATTATATCTTGAAATCGATTTATCAGAATTTCTTCCTTTGTATATTTAACATTTTAAAAGAACCAGAGACGAACATTTTTATTTATATGAAGTTTCGGAATTTGTGTGTGAGCTTGTTATTTATTTGCTCCAAAATTTTGTCGTCCACTTTTCTGAATGAGTTTTACGATAAAGTTATTTCGTACAATCTCTTCTTCGTTGATTATTTTTACAAATACAAGGAGGTTGTTTGCCTGGCAAATAAAAAGGGCGACCACTATGACGACAGCACCTTGAGGAGCATCTACTCCATGTTCCTAAGCAACGCGAAGGACCTCTACCTGTTCGCCTACTTGATGCTTTTCAGAAATTGCAGAAATGTTATGAATTTAAAAATTTTGAAGGGCATTTTGAAGGTGTCGTCGGAGGAGGTTCAGGTGATACTGCAGAACTTGATTTCGCAGAGAGAGGGGGATGGTGGCGGTAGGCAAGACAAGAAGGACAGGCGGGAGAGGAAAGACAGGGGAGGCGCGTCTAGCGGCGCTGTTAGCAGTGCTGTTAGCGATGATGTGATCATGTTGTCCGTAGATGCGACCACGGATTTGACGGTCGATCCGGAAGTGGAAGTACAAAACGGGATGCCCAGCGAGGCGCAGAACGGCAATGGCAACCCAGTAGACGCGAAGGAACCTGGTAGTCTAAGGAGAAGAAAAGAAAGCAGCAAAGTAGAATTGTTTCGAGTAAAAAACCTAAGCATGAACGATTTTCTCACCAAAGAGATGCACATAAAACTGAAAATAAAAGAGCAAAATGATGAAGAAAAGAAAAAAACAGCGTACAAAAATTTGTATTTTATTAACATATTCTACATTGCAGAATTAAAGAAACTTAGCACATATGACAATAATTTTATATACTATATGTTCAATTGCATTTTTTGTTTTCTGAACATATACATAAATCGGTTCACTTTTTTTTTTTACTTTATTAAAAACGAGGGCTACCATCACAACAGCTACGTTTACTCTGATAATTCCTTCAACAATAATAGCAGCAGTAATGGAAAAGGGAACAAAGACGTTGAACAATTAGTACTCGATATGAATGAGCAAAAGCATGTTCTGGAGTTTATCCTGGACATGCTGACGCTGTTAAGAAATTTTTTACACATTGTTAACTTGATGGAGGAGAATTTAATCAATGTAAATATCGAGTCCTTGGTGAAGAAGAAAACGAGAGGAAGCGAATTGACAAATATAAGAAGACTTAAAAGATTGGTCATCCTGGAGTTACAGAAGTTTTATTTTATTTTTGTGAAGCTTTTAAAGGTCCTTTTCTTACTCAACAGAATAAATGGTTACTGCATAACCCCCTTTGAGTTTTTCTTTTTTAAACTGATCCAGTCGCTAGACAATGAACTTATAGGGGTTCACACCAAAAGACAAATTTTAAAATTTTTAAAATATTTCTCCTACAAGAAAAAGTTCAAGGATACCATCATTAGTAGAATTAACCATTTCCATTCCAAGTTGAGAAGCAAGAGGAAGAAAATCTCGGACATTTTTTCGAAAAAGGAATGTAAAAGGCAAGAATTGTACTTATCTTCCATTAGAAGGCATGACGATTTTGCTTCTAACCCCCCATACGTTGATGATCGCAAAGGAGATGTAAACGGCGTTTCGTATGGTTACGACAATTCTTTCAAAGCGCAGGGGGAAAAGGACGCAGAGGTAGAGGAGCCCTACGGGGATGCACTCCACCGAGTGAAGGAACCAACCGGGTTTCCCCCCATGATCAAGGGCGAACCAACACCAAAAGCACAGCAACTACAAGAGGAGCAATGGAAGCAGACGCAACAATCGCAGAATCCACTGCTGCTACCCGAAACGGCTAACCAAAACGAGAAAAGGAAATCGACTAGGAAGAGGTCTGGCAACAACGGCCGAAGGGGCAAGAGCAACACGAACCAGGGGCAATCTGGGACGTACAATTCGGAGGAGGGCATAGCGGCTGTCATAGAAGCAATGCCTATAGAGAAAGACCCGTGTGCCAAAAATAACGGTATACGTGAAGACGGAAAAACGGGAAACCAAGGCGGTAACACAACTGGCGATAACGTGACTACAGCGGAAGTGGACAGAGCGCTACCGAACACATGTGCCAGCGAGGCAAACGCGAAGACAACTGCGAGTAGAAGCAAGAGGAGGAAATGCAGTAACATGAAGAAACACGGAGAGAAGATTGATATTGACCCAAGCGTCGTGATCGTCCCAGAGCAGCTGAAGGAGGAGGAGGATAAGAAGAAATTGGATCCTACGAAGTATTGCAAAACAGAATGTGAAGTAAAAGTAGAGCAGGAAGAAGAGGTGATAAATCCACAGAGTAACACGCCTGAGCAGGAAACTAGGAGAAGCCGATATGGTAGAAAAAGTGGCGTTAACACAAAAGAGAGAAATTTTAGTCTGCTGATTGAAGAGGAACATGAGCAGAACAGGAAACAAAGGCGAATGAGCAGGAGTAAGGCTTCAAGTGCGGGGGGTAGGAAAGGGAGAAATGTAGTCAAGAAGGAGGCAGAAGTGAAGGTGGTAGGAAGTATAGAAGCTGCAGGAGGAGTAGCGGTAGAGGGGACGGCACCCGCAAGTGAGTTTGTAGGCGCTATTGCTGGGGATCCTGCGAAGATAGCGACAGATGGCTTCTACCCCGAAGAGGCCGCGGCACAGAGAAGAGACGCATGCGACATTTTGGTACATGGGAAAATAGACACAACCATGAGCAAAGCGGAAGGAGGAGAACAAATGTTGGAATATACAAATGAGAAAAACATGGGCTTAAAAATTGTCCTAAACTGTAATAGCAACATGATAGCAGAGATGGATAGGTTAAATTACTTTAGGAAGTACAGCGCTCTGAACAGCTACAAAGATTACAAGGTTGAAAAATTTTTCTACGACAACTTGGAGTTGTTCCTTATAAGCATGTTCATATTTGAAAAGAGTACCAAATTGAACAGCACGGATTTGTTTTTGGAAAATTTTGAAAAAATAAATGAAGTAATTGAGTTTTGCAAGAGGCATCATATCGATAGAGGGATAGAAAAAATTGTGAAGCATTTATTTTCTTATTTGTGTGAAATAAAAAGCAACAAAAGGTATATTCAGGGAATGATCAAATTAATTACCAACACGTTTTCGTACATTCCAGGGTACAAAATTTCTGACTCCCCCTTTTTTTTTATTTCCTTTTGTTGTCTCTTTAAACATTCCAAGAAGAAACATGTGAACAAAATAATTATCCAAAATTTTATTATCATTTGCTTGAATTATATTGACACTTTAAAGAAGCGAACATACAACAGAAGGAGATATCGCATGTGGTTTAAGACACTCCATAATAGGAGAGGTGAATATGCAGAGCAGAGAATGACGGAGGTTGGACAGAATTATAACAAGTTTAGCGCATCTCCTGTGGGAGGTGTTGGTCAAAATGTTGTCACTGGAGTTGAGGGTACTGTTGATCAGGGTGTAGCAGAATCGGTGGAATTGCCGGGGCTAGCGGCCACGTCGACCATTGCGCCCACAGCGGTAGCTGCTGGCGTAGTAGACGTAAGGGGCTTAAATGATATGATGCCCGTGGAGGGTGTTGTGGTGAAGGAGCAGTCGTGTGAAAGCTTGAGGAGCAAAAAGGCGAACAACAAAAGAGGGACAAGTAGAAACTCGAGGTCGAGAAGGAACACCAAGAAGGGCGAGGAAACGGCTGCCAAGGCGTTAACGTTAGACGAGGGAACTGCAGATGAGGCCCTCCCTCAGGAGGGGGGAGACACCAACCAAGTGGCTACTGCTACGGCGGAAATTGTTCCAACTATGGATGCACAAGCGATGGTCAATGAAGGGGTAGTCACTGAAGGGGCGAGCGCCAAACCCACAAGTGTCTACTACGAGAACAACTGTAAAGGTTCCCGCAGGAACAGCGGAAATCACAGGCTATCCAACGCGATGAGCGGTGTGGTACCGAGTGACTATATCTACCCCCGAGAGGCGCTCATGTTCCAGCGAAACAAGCGAGAAGAGAAAGAAATAACAGACAAGCTGTTCCTGAACCTGATTAACATGTACATAAATTTCATGTGCTCCTTTTATTTCTACTACTTAACTTTTTACGAAGACAATTACAACATTTTGAAGAATATGTTATTTTTAGGCATAGATAAAGTACTACAGAAAAAGGCGAATAAAAAGTTGACTAGCTTTTTTTTGTCATTTATATATATTTTAATGTGCCTTTTGTTAAAAGTGAAGATGAAGGAGGAGTTCATATTAACGTTGAGTAAGGACAAAACGAAGGGGCAAAAGAAAATGAGAAGAAGCGCATCCAGGAGAAGCGAAAAAAGAGAATGTCGAAAAAAAGTGGAACACATTAGTGGAAGGAGTAGAAATAATGAAAGCAAAATAAGCGATTTGCGCGGAACGGGAGCGGCAGCAAATAATCAGCGAGAAAAGGAGGAAGACAAAAAGTTTGTAGTGAACTATTTAATTAATCTTATAGACGAGAGCAAACAAGGGAATGTAAACCAAAATGGAAAGAAAAAATTCAGGAAAAATATACAGCAAGTTTTATGTAAAAAAAATGAGGAACATATGGAGAATTACAGTTTTTTTCCAAAAAGGTGTTTCTACAAAAATAAAATGGACAAACATATAGAAAAGGTGTTCCATGTAAAGAAGAAGAAAAAATTAGTCATTACAAGTTCGTTACATTTGAAGGAAAACTTAAAAAAGTTAAACAACATATCTGTTAACTTTTCTTATAAATTTATTTTTACCCTTTTATCCGAGTCGCTAACATTTGAGAAGAGCAACGAATGGCTGATCAGTCGCGTTTTTAAGAATGATATGAAGAAAGACACCAACTATGCCAAATATAACTTTTTGGATTATATTATATATGCATGTTTTTACACCATTTTTTGCAAAACACAATTAATTAAAATGGTGAAGACAAATTATCAGAGGGTTTCACCTAATACACAAAATAAAAAAAAAAATTTGGGAAATATAAAAATGAAGTCGTACATATATAATCAGAAAAAATACTCTACTTTGCAATTTTATTTGGCTGTTGAAATTCTCAATTTAATTTTTAACAATTTAAAATATCTTCCATTTAGTTCGATAAAGTTAATTATTGACATATTTTTGAACAAATCATTTTTAACCGTATGGATAGATGGGAAAAAGGAAGATACAGTAAATAAATTTCAGAGATTATTTCACAATTTTTTTAGTGATATTTTTTATCTGCAATCTGAAAAACTTACGCAGTTGCCTTATTTTATGTATCAATATCAGAAAAGTATCTTTCTTGTAAATTTGGTCATAAATTCTGTTGTATGCACGAAGAAGAAACCTGTGGACAATTTCCTCCTTCTGGACATTTTGAAGCACTGCTTTCCGAGGGCTGATTTTGACAACTATAATAATTCGTCCGATAAGAAGAACGAAGACAAGCGTGCGGTGGAGCGGTCGCAGCGCATGTTGCGGAGCAAGAAGGTGAACCTGCCCAGTTGAGGTGGAGAAGTGGAACAAGGGACATAAACCGCGCAGCGCCACAGCGGAAGGTTTTACACATTGTGTTTAAGCGCCCCAGTGAACAACCCCTTCCCTTGTTCACGTCTTTTTTTGCTCATCTGTTTTCACTGGCCAAACAGCTGATTGATTTTTACGGCATTTTTGCCCCAACGCTGGGGCCATTTCTGTGCGTGTGTATATGCAACTGTGTCAAAGTATTTGCCCCCCTTTACGTTTTTCTGTTCACATTTTCGTTTTTGTATTGGCAGCGGGATATTTTTTCTCCATGCGTGGCCATAATGACACTTCCCCATTAATGAATATGTTTCGAACGAATAGTATATGCAGAGTGCGAAAATAATTTAGCTCGCTCCTTTTGTCTTCTTTTATTTTTTAATGAAACATTAATCCTTATGTGTTCTTTTCCCCTGTTTTAATTTTTGGAAACTTACCTATTTGGTTTTTCAATTATCTTTTCGAATGTCACAAATGGTGAAGGCAGTGACTCGCGGTGTGTGATTCACAACGCGTCGTGTCCTTTGCCCACCCTACTTATGCCAACCGTTCTAATTAATTATGCAGAACATGCGCACACCACATGTTTGTCGTAATTTTTTTTCACACCGATTAAAAGGGAAGAAAAATGGCTCTTGAGAGTTTTATGCTTTTCATTCTCGCTTCTCATTTACTGCTCATCTAGTGCTCATCTACGGTGGGTGCTGGGTTTGCAGGGACAGCAGGAAGGTCCGCTTCGCGCGGTGATTCCACATTGGCCTATTGTTTCTGTGCGCCCCAATTGCTTAACATTTGTCCCCCCCGACACGGCATCATTTCGTACTTTTTAAACCAGTATGGTGCTGTAAACGTGCAACAGTTTTGGCATAAAAAAATGTTTCCCAATAGCTTTTTGTGAGGCATTTATTTAAGGTGTTTAACTTTCAATTTCGAGTTGGCAAATGTAGGCACTCCGTTATAACGTTTTATTTATTTTTTCCCGCTTACACGTGTTAGGGACCTTTGATTTTTTCCCTCTCCATAGGAGCAAAAATATTCGAATTTGGTAACTTGCAAACCTGTTCGCAGGAAGCTGGCATACTTGTTATACACGTTTTTTTTTTTTTTTTTGGGTAACAATTCAGTTGGTAAATTTTTTGTTTTTTTTTGAATTGTAAAAGAATAGGGGCAGAATTTGTTAATGCGTTGGAGCAGGGAATGTTAACAAATGAATCACCTTTAAGTAGAAATGACCTTAAAAATTGTGAGGTGAAGACTAATTTGGGCATTTTTTCCTTTTTTTACGTAGTTGTCCCCTTTCGCCCTCCAAATGACAATGTGAATACACAATGAAGAGCTGCAAAAACAATGCCAACTTCTTCTGGTGTAATTTGAAAAAGAAGCTGAGATTGGATGGACGAAATTTTGAAGACTCAAGAAATATTTCGATATACTTTTTGGGAGAATATGGACATGTAGAGGTTTCCATTGGGCACACAAAAGTTATATGCAGAATAACGAGTGAAATTGTAAAGCCGTTTGACAAGAAACCAAACGAAGGAATAATAAAAGTAAATTTAGATATAGATAGTTTTACAAACGCAAATGATAATTCTCAAATTAGTGATGAATGTTTGGAAATTAGGAATTTAATTGAAAGAATTTTAAAATCAAGTAATCTTTTAAACTTTGAATCTTTGTGTATTATCCCCCACAAGAAGGTGTGGTGTTTGTTAGTAAATATTATTGTGATAGAAAATGATGGAAATTTATATGACTCCTGTTATTTGTCTGCCTACAGTGCATTAGTACATTATCGAAATAACGAAGTAACAGTTGATAATATTGGAAATGTTATTATTGAAGAAGGGGAGACGAATTACACCCCTTTGTCTATTCATAATACTCCTATTTTGACTACATTTGCATACTTCAATTGTGAAGACATATGCCTGATCGATCCATCTATACACGAAGAAGAGTTTATGTCTTCCAAATTATCCGTTGCACTTAATAAGAACGGAAAATTAGTGAGTATATTGAAACCAGGGGGGTCTCCCATATCTTATGAAAAAATACTTGAAGCTATTGAGTTAGCGAAAAAAAGAGTTAAAAGCATTTTGAAAATTTTAGAAGATGCTTTAGAGGAAGATAAAAATTTGAGAAATAGCTTGAAAAAAAAAAATATACACATTAAATATTCTTCCAATCCTGTGCAAATAAAATATGATGATGCAAATGTTCATGCAAAACCTCTTGTTATCCCTCCTAACAAATCAGTACAAAATAATCTGAACATTGAAAAAATTATAAAGAAATATGAACAGTACATATATTCACAGGAGGTGAAGAAGGAAGAAAAGGAAAAATCGGCACAAGGAGAGACAACCCTAGGGGACAACAAACGTACAAGTCAGTACCTCATAAACGAAGAGCTTCGAAAATTAAAGCAGAAAATAGGAGCAAAGAATGGTGATGAGTTTTCCTACATGGATAAGTATGATGACGACATTAGCGATATCAGTAGTAACCTCAGCACAAAAAACGAAGTGGACATTGGAAGTGCAGATGTGGGGAAGATAAAAAGGCAAGAATTTAGCGACACCAATTCGCATCTGCATAATTTGAAAATACAAAGAACGAGTGAGGCGCCAAGAAGGGAGATAGGTAACACTGCAGGGTCGCAGGCGACGGGTGTCGTCAGAACGCCGAATGACAGGATGGACGCCACTGTTCGCTCAAATCCGTATTTTAAGGGACACCCGATTTTCGAGGACGATAAAAGGAACGTATGTGCAAAGAAGCACGCGGACTCGAGTGAAGACTCATCCGACATAGACTTCTCCGTGGCGATTAACCAGAATTTGAAGAAAACGAAGAAGAAAAAAGGCTAGGTGTGCCGGTGAGAAGGGTGGACCGTCGCGATGGTGGACGTATGTGCACACGCTTGTCTGCATCAACGTAGGGTGCCCCTTTGATCCATTTTGTGCATCTTCTTTTATGTGAAGCACCAGGCGGGGAGTTTGCCCTTTTCTCGCCGACTCAGCGTGCCTTAGCACCTTCTTGCTTAAGTTGGCGCGTTCCCTCATGGGAGTTGCTCCCCTCTTTAATTTCCCCCGTCTTCACCTGCAACAATTTTAATTTTAAAATTTTTTTAGTGCCAAAAAGCCAAAAAAAACAAGCGCAAAGTAGTGTAAGAAATGTGCACCATATAATGAACTTCGCCCTTTGTTCCCCTGGGTGAAAAGGTTAAAAGCGCAGCAGAGGGCGCCGAACGGGTAATCAGGTCGTCAATTTAAGACGCCCCTTTTGTGAAACACATCCTGGGGGGCTGTTCTTCTGGCAGAACGTTTTGAAGCGGTCCACCCTTGGGGATAATGCCATGTCTGTGCGTAATATCCTTACGTGTGTAATATTGTGGGAAGCATACACATGTGTAAACATATAACTATAGGTTTGGGGCGGGGAGTAAAAGTGTATTGGGTCAAATTCGGGTCAAATGTTAGGCCAACTATTGGGTCATTGTTGAGCCCACTCTGATTGGCGATAATGCAATCGTGTTCGCAAAATCGGAAGCGTAATTACCTTGCCATTTCACTTTTTTTTTTTTTTTTTTTCAATGTTAAAATATGTGAGAATTTTAATGAGCTCGTTTCATTCATTGATCCCAAATGGAACCAAATGTGTATATCGAAATCCTTTAAATTGAGAACGGGATATTTCTATATCCAATGGAAAAGCTTGAGCGTGTGGTTTTGGTTTTTTTTCTTTGAGGGAGAGGGCACAGAAATGGCTGTTATGGAGAAGCGGGCGAAGTGAGGATCGAAAGTTTGTTCCCCTTCTGGGTAAGCTATGAAGAGGGAAAAAATTAAAAGATGAAGAAAAGGGACGCGTTAAGGTGTATGCACGCTTTGTGCGCCTTGTTCCTGTTGGGGGCTGAAGCGAATTGCAATGAAGTGGGGCTTCTTTCAGGGAAAAGCAGAGTTAGCCGCGCAGTTGGGCGGGGAGGAAGTAGTGCCAACAATAGCGTCAAGAATATCTGCAGGAGCAGGAGGGGAGCCGCTGTGAAGCGTTACCTGAGGGGGGATTCCCCCCAACCGGAATGGAACAAAAAGGGGAAACAAGACCAAGTGAGTTACTTCATAACACCCCGGGGGCAGCACTTGAGAGATTTGGACCAAGGGACAAAAAGGAAGATCAAGCGGACCACGCGTAGCAAACGGGTCGAACATACTGGCCAGACCAAACAATTCGCGCTACACATGGATAAGGGGGACCCCAACGACTACATGTTTAGCCTGATGAAGGGGGAGGGGAAGAATAACCGGGAGCAGACTTTCCCTAAGGAAGTTACAAACCAGTATGGACAAAAAAAACCGAGTGTTGATGCGGCAGCGGAGAATCGCCCCCCCCTGAAGGAAGACGACGTAACCTACAAGTATGTAGAAGAAATGGAAGCAAAAAAAATTAACATCAGAGGAGTGGATATAGAATATCGAGTGTATAATTTAGAAGAAGGAATATACATTGTGGATAATGCAAATTATGAGAAAATAAAAAATTTGTGGGACAAAGACGAATTGAAGAAGGCCAAAGAAAACTTCCAAGGATCTTTTGGTATAAAAAGTCAGGGCATTAAAGAGGAGGACTGGATAATGCTACCACTAGATTATGAAGAAGATAAAAATATCAAGTTGGTGAAGGCAGACTTTGACAACCCTACGTATGATTATATAATTACGTACTATGACAAAGAACGGAATTATTACTTTGAATATAAAAGGAGAAATTATTATAAGCCTTTTCGGAACACAGTACATGAGACACCACCATACAAATCAGAGTTAGAGGAAGACAGAAGATATTATGGGAAAGAAATAGTCATACCTAAGAAAAAGCTAGATAATGAAATTTTTAGGCAGCCAATGTTAAGTGATGTTTTGACAGGGGGGTGCAATAGAGAACCCATAGGATTAGAATCATGGAGGTATGTAAAATATCCATATGGAAATTTAATTGAGTATCAGAAATATAGCCAACTTTATTGTGTAAAAAAAAATGGGAAAGATAAACCCCCTATGAGATACCATTATTTGGGGAATAGCAATTTAGCTGTTTCTGAAATTTGCTTAGGGACCATGAATTTTGGAAATTATGTGGATCAGAAAGTGGCCCATGAATTATTTGATTATGCTTATGAGGAGTTCCAGGTGAATTTTTTTGATACGGCCGAAATATATCCTTTGCCTGTTAGCGAGAATTATTTTGGGTTGTCGGAGGAGATTTTAGGAAACTGGATTAAGTCTAAGGGGAAGGCCAACCGGCACAAGTTTGTTATCGCAACGAAGATATGCGGCAGGACGGATAAGATTCCTTGGGCTAAGAAGTACAAGCGGGGGGGCGCCACTGGAACAGCTGCCCATACACATGGCAACCGTGATCAGGGCAGCCATGATCAGGGCAGCCGTGACCAGAGTGCCTACTCCAAGGAGGAGAGCAAAAGTCCGATGGAAAAGCTCGAGGAGCTGAAAAGAAAGGAGGAATTATATTTAAAAAAGGACTACGAAGCGGTGGAAAAGATGAAAGAAATGGAGAAGTGGAAGCAGAGTCAGAGAGATGACAACCTGATCACACTGAGCAAGGAAAATATCATTTCGAGTGTGGATAACTGCTTGTTGAGACTGAAGACGAATTACATCGACCTACTGCAACTGCATTGGCCAGACAGGTACTATCCTAATCAGTCTTCCGGAGATTATAGTGATGTGATTTACGACTATAACAAGTACTATGACGACTTTGTGCCTTTTGTAGAGCAGCTGCAAGCAATTAATGAGTTGAAAAAAAAAGGAAAAATTCGAGAATGGGGACTAAGTAATGAAACTCCTTTTGGCTTACTCAAATTTTATGATTTATGCAAACAGTTACAAATATCTCCACCCGTATCGGTGCAGTTAGAATACAATTTATTGTGTCGTAATGATGTAGAAAAAGGTTTTCTTGAAATTTGTAGACCCCAAAATACTAATGTTTCCATTTTGGCTTATTCCCCTCTTTGTGCTGGCATTTTAACGGGCAAATATTTAGAGTACACGGATTACACCACGAAGGGGAGAATGCAAAAGTTTCCTTCCTACATGAAGCGGTTGCGAGGATCCCTAGCTACTTATATCATTCGGGAGCTGTATTATTTAAGTCAGAAGTACTACTTCCCCAACCTGACTGTGGCCGCCTTAAAATGGGTGTACACACGATCGTTCGTCACGTCCACCGTTATTGGTGTGTCTGACTTCCTGCAGCTGCGCGAGAATTTGTACTCGCTCACGGAGGACGTGCTGTTTACGGACAAGCTGGAGCGCGAGATAAACGCGCTACATTGGAAGTTCAGGGACCCCATCAGGATCATCCAGTGAAGCGCCCGGGGCGGCGCTGCGATATATCGTGATTAGGGCCTCAAACTGGTAGAGGCGTCAGATTGGTAGCGGTATCGAATTTGTGTACTGTGCTGTTAATTTTTTTTATGTTGTTCTCCTGGCGCGGATACGGATTGCACCCGCAGATGGGTCTCATTGTTGGGTTACGCCCATTTGTTCATTTTTTTTGTGAAGTTTTTTTTTTTTTTTTTTTTTTTTTTTTCAAATTGGTGTGCTTCGGTCCTTTTTATGTATTTTTTTTTTTTTCCTTTTTTTGTTTACACCTCCACATGTTAAACGCAGAGAAGCATTGACCTGTTGATTTGCTCACCTGTAAATGGTGCCTCGCAAGTGGGGATGAGAAAGGGAAGGTGCTCATAGAATATTTTTTACAGTCATTTTTTTTAAGGGGCAAAATAACGGGGGGCAACTTCGAAGTGCAATTTTTTATGTGACTCACCCAATTGTTCTTCCCTTTTCCATGTTGACACATGACGAGCTGAACATGGGACATGGAAAATGCGAGAAAGCATGATAGGTGAAAAAGGAAAGGCGCTGTTTTACCTGAGCAACCACGCAGACAACATATGCAGCGTTAAATTTTGCAGCGAGGATGTGTTGGTCTCTACATGCGATTGTGGAATGGTCACCTTATGGGATTTGAATAATTTAACAAGCACAGGGAATTACAAGGTATCAAATTATAGTGCATTATATGCATCCTTTTTTGATAAGGACCATTTTTTTGTAAAAACAAAAGAAGGGTCGGTAAAATTATGGGATATAAAACGTAATCATTGTGCTGTGAAATTAGACGCCAACAATTATACGTACGCCAAGCCGTACTGTGTAAATGGAAAAATAGTTACGCCTGTAAATCACAATGGGGACATTGGCATTTATGACCTGAGGACGCGGACAGATTTGCCTCGTAACAATAGTCTGTGTGGTGGGTCGGAAGAAGGAAGTAGTAACACGCTGGTCATGCGCTTTAACAAAATAAAGAAAAATGTTGGGAAGATCAAAATGTTATCTTCCAGTGGAAAGGAGAAAGAGCATAAATATATTTTGAACAGCGAATTGAAGTTCTGTAGTGACATATTGGATATTTACCCAATTCCATTTTGGGGGGACTCATTTATCCTGGCATGTTATGAACCCTCGCTTTTTTTAATTTATGATTTTAGAATGACTAACCAGTTGATTTCGAGTTTTATAATAGACTTGAAGGAGAATGTCCTAAGTTATCACATAAATAAAAACAAATGCGTAGTTAGTACGAGTAACAATTCTGTGTATTCTGTTGCATTGGAGCAAAATGAACAGATCTCTTTGGTCAAAAAGGCACATTGCCCAAAATATAATATGAGCAATTTGGTGATAAGATCGGATAGTAAACTCTTCATTTCAATTACCGATAACTGCTCTGTTAATTTGTGTGATTTACATCAAATGGAAGTGATAGATTGCATTAAGACTTATAAGTTTAACTGCTTCAATTTCGTGGACTTCCATCCTTGTTCTGGCTTGTTCGCAGTGGCAGAACGGAATAAGGTTTCCATTTGGGCGAACCAAGCCTCCAGTTTTGAGCCATCCCTCTCCATTGACGGCCAGTCGTCAGAGGTGGTGCCCTTTGGGTGAGCAGTATCCAAATGAGGTGTGCACTGAATCGTCCTAATCCTGTCGATCACCTTCAACATATGTGTAGCACGAAAAGTGTTGCCAATTGAAAAGGTTTAAAAAAATCACCAAGTTCAGCAAAGAGAGTTTTAAAATTTTGCATTATCAAAAAAAAAAGGTAATGGGTAAACGAAATAAAAGGGAGGTGGAAGTGGGAAAGCAAACATTCAAATCGGTTTAATGCGTGAGGGAGATAAACTCGGAGAAGCAACTGCACGCATATTCAATATTAGGAAGGAGTAAAATCGGGGAACAGCATGAATGCTTGTTCACACGACATCGTTGTGATAAAGAAAAAAAAACAGGAAAAAAAAAATAAAAAAAAGACAAAAATGTATCGGCAATCTTCAGGGAGATGAAGTCGACACACAAAATGGGAGAGTTTCAAACCACAAGCCTGTAGGTCACGTACCTACCAGCCGTTTCACTGGGCCTGATTATTTTAACAACCTGAGGAGAAGAACGGGAAAGCATACAAAATGTAGGATGCCGATGAGGGACGAAGCGCATGGGCAAATGGGCAACTGTGTGGGGCGGGAGGACAGGCTCCTTGCCATTATATAGCACCTTTTTTTTTTTTTTTTTACCTGTCCTTTTGCCAGGCCGAAGTATCGACACACAGGATCCACGTCTTGAATTCGAGGCAACTTGTTTTCTTTAATCTGCAAATAACGCAGTGGTCGAGATATGTGCAGCAGCTCAGACAGCAGAAGTGCAGGAATGGAAAATTCTCCTCAATGCCTGCTTCCACGCGAGTACCAACTCATCGAAGCCTGAGTGCTTTTTTCCGGTTTGATCAATTTTAGCGTCACCCCAACAGGAGTATAATAGTGCGTAGCGACTGCACAATTTCACTCTGCTCATGCGCTTCTTTTCCTTTGCATGATTCTCCTCTTTGTGATTTTCTTTATTAATTTACCTTATATCTTTGTAGGAGGTTCCTTTTTTCGTCACTCGTGAGGGGGATGTGCCTTGGAACCAACTCATGCTTCGTTATGTTAACCTGGCGAAGTAGAAATTGAGGGGGTACATATCATTGTTGGGTCAGGAGATACATGAGGGTAATAGGGTGGCCCCACAAAAATGGAAACCCCCACATTGTATGTTTATATCCCTTTTCACTTCTGCACAAACACGAAGGTGTCGCCCTTTTTTGTTATCACAAATAATTTGTTAATTTTTTTTTTTTTTTTTTTTTAAACTATGCTTACCAACAATTCGGTGTCCAAAAAATTTTCTATGATGTGTCTCGGGGCAGCTTCCTTAATTGCCTACATAAGAGTACAAACACAAGATGTACATGTCGACAGGTGAAAAAAAAAAATAATAATAAATAAATAAAAACCAAGTTCGTTTCTTATATATTAAAAAAGAAGGAACAAAATTATCACATCATGCTTGTGTGCATAATAATTACATCTCGAGCGAAGGGTGTCAACGTATTTTGCGTCACAAGTATTGCTCTCTGAATTGACTTTTCATCCATTTTTTCCGTCAGCCTGTAAGGTTATATCATATACAGTTAAAATTGTATGTGAAGTGTGGCGATAGGTGTGAAGAGGTGACACGTGGCATTATATAAGTAGATTACGATCCCGACGGTCGTATGCATTTAAGCGTCTTTGTTTTTTTTTTTTGTGTGTTTACTCTCTTAAAGGTTTGACTCCTGTTTTTTTAATTTCATCTGCGAAGTAAACTATAATTTTGTTGTTCGGGTCATTCTTGTGACTTGTGATGATAGTCATTCTGGATCGTCTGAAAATGGAAGCGAGGGAAAAGGGCAAGTGAAGGGTTTGATCATTGTACACGCTTCTTTTGCACAACGGTTTATTTTTACTTTAAAAAAGGAGGTTACAAAAGGAAATAACTCAACATGCTTTTTAGAACGTGGAGGAGTATGCATTTGCAAATATCTTTTATAAATTGTGTGAATTTTGTAAATGCTTTTTTCTTACAGTTTTTCATTTTCTTCAAATTGTTCCTTGAAGGTGGCAAAGTTTTCGAGCCTTTCCCTGGGTGTTATAATGTATCCCCTGTCCTCGAGCATCTCACAGCATGTTTTTCTGCATTTATAGAACCTCGTGATGGGGTCTTCCATTTGGCTGATTAGCTATTTGTCACGGGGTTGGTAACAACTCCTTTAGCTTTATCTTCTTTTTCCCCTCGTCTATTTTTCAAATTGTTGCGGCTGCCAGGCCACAGTTGATCTGACAAAGTTAATCCTTGAAATTTGTGCTTATGAAATTGTTTAAGGGTTAAAAGTGAGTATAATATAAGTGGCGCTATTTTACCTATTCATGCTATGCTTGCTCGTTCGCGGGGATTGTTTTATCCGGTTCCCTTCTTATGAGGCCATTTCTTTATATGGGAACTTCCGATCGTTCACATAACTTTTTTTTTTTTTTTTAAAAAAAATAGGAGAAAAAAAAAAAATTACTGTTTGACCGTTCTACGCTCAATGGTTTGTTAAATCCACTCGCGGGAACATTTGAAATGCGTACGCTGAGCGTGCTCCCTGGAGAATCGCTAAATTGTTTGAAGGTTAAAAGCGAATGTGGATTTATTCTATACATGTGTTTGCAATACGCTTACGCCGCATGGCTTGCTCATTTGCACGGAGATTCTGTTGTGATCCATATTAAAAATGACATATTACTTTTTCTCCTTTGGGATAAGTCACTTTCAATTATCGAAAAGGTAGGTTTATTTTATTTTATATTTTTCGTTGCTACGACGACATAAATGTTGGCCTATGCTAGGCAAGCCACAAATATATATACATTTTTAGCTTTCTCTTTATATAGTTTGCCTAGCGCCTACCAAAAGGGGCGTTATATATATAGCAACAAATGATGTAACGCGAGGCATTTGCAGGAGGCATTTTTTTAAAATAAAAAATATATGTATATACCTAACGTTAATACTTGCTCCGCATGGGGGTATTGATGCATGCTAGCAGTGGTTGTTATTAAAAAAATTTGAGGGAAAAATTAACGACACATTGTTGGCATTTCTGCATTCAATTCATATAACAAACAAATGGGATAAGAACAAAAAAAAAAAAAATTCGTGGCACTGGTAAACACAAAAAACATTTTGTAGAAGTTAACCTTTTTGTGCTGCTTTTTATTTTTTTTAATTTTTAGCCAAATGAAAAAATGGGCGACCAAAATAAGGGGTGAAAATCCCCATGATGTGCACACTCCTATATTGTATACATTTTTTTTCCCCCTTTGCGTTGCTAATGTATGGAACACGGGGGTTAGACTCCATGTTGGGAACACGCAAATGTATATGTAGATGTACAGTATACATATATCATCTCTGTCCCGTTAGGATGAATACAAATGGCACATGTGATGTGGGAAGATGATGGATGGGTGTAAAGAAGATGGCCTACTTACCATCCGACTATGTTTTCCTCAATAATACCCATGAGAAAATCAATGCCCACCTTGGAATAATTGAAGCAGCTTATATATCGAAGGCGTCCATTACCATTCTGAAGGAACTGCTTCCGGTAGGTGATTTCAATTTCTTCCAGTGTCTCCAAGCAGTCAGCAGAAAAGGATGGACAAACCACATCGACCACATTACATCCATCAAAAGACAACTGCTTTAAAACATTTTCAATACATGGTTGTATCCATTTTTGTCCTTCTATTCTGGATTGGAAAGCCAAAATATAATCTTCCTTCTTAAGGTTTAGCTTTTTAATCAATTGGTTTGTACTTTCGATACAAAAAAAAGGATACAGATCTCCATCCTCCACCGTTTTAGTAGGTATGGAATGGTAAGATATGATTAATTTATCCCCCTTTCCATTTTTTTTCCAAAAATTTTGAATACTCTCCGTCATACTGTTTAGATACTTTTCATTTAAACAGTATCCCGATAGAAATCTCAACTCTGGAATATTATTCCACTTTTTTAAATTTTCACTTATGCAATCAAATGTGGATGCTACTGTGCATTCGGCTGATTGGGGGTATAGGGGCACTACTAGAAGTTTGTTTATGTTTTTTTCTTTCAAATAATCCAATGCTCTTTTTATGGACCTCTCTCCGTATCGCATTCCATAGGTAATTGCAATTTTGTCTTTGTACCTGCGAGGTGGTGGAGTGGTGGCGAAGTTCCCATTTGTGTCAATGCCCACATGGACGCAGATATATAGGCGGCCTTTTTTTTCTCTCTCTCTCTCAGTTACATTGCAAATAAACGCTCCTTCAACGCCGCGCACTGGTTATGCGTGTTCACGCATAGAGGGGACCCTTCGTCTGTCCACACATTTTTATATTTGGATAGGGACTTTCCTGCGGGGAGCACACATGTGGTGGTGATCAACGATGTGGGAAATGCTATGCATATCTTGCGTGTCACGTTGCGGCGGCGTAAATAGGCATCACGAGCGGCTTCGTTGTTTGAGAAGGGTGTCTTTTTTTTAGAAATAATTTCCCCCCCCCCCCTTTTTTTTTATTATTGTTACCGCTGCGGAAGGGCAGTACGTAGGCGTAGAGCAGGGGCAGCCACAAAAAGCGATTCAGCTTGACAACTCGCGGATCGCCCAGGAAGTCTAAATGGGTGGGCAGGTGTTCCCCGGAAAAGGACAAAAAATAAAATAATAAGTTAATATGCGAGGATGCGCTAATAATATGTATGCTTGTACATGCACATTATGGGGTGTATTTTTTTTTTTTTTTTTTTTTAGAGTATTGCATATTCCCACGCATGTGTTGGTCGGCGGGCACAGTAGCACTATCGGATTTTTTCTGCCCTTTTTCTATTTTTCCCTTTCTTGGTCTTTTCCTTACTAGCCAAATATTTGAACAAGGCCCAATAAGTCGGTTTCGCGGGGCTTCCCAAATTTGTTATGAGTACGCCAATTTTGTTGCGTTGGAGCTTGTTTAATATTTTATCTTTGGATAAATTTAAGTTGTTGAATTTTAGGAAGTCCTCTATATTCATTTTTACGAACAGTACCAGCTGCGATGTTCACAGGTGGTGGGCGCAGAAGGGGCGTGCGTGTTAATCGGCAAGGCTGAATTTCAAATGGGGGCGAGCCAAAATGGGCCAGCGAAATCCTATCGCTATGCAAAAGAAACTCGCCGAAGTTGACGCTGAAGGGATGTTCTCTTCACATGTCACAAACGGAGAGAACAAAAAAAGAACAAAATGGCAAGCAAAAAATTAATTTATTAAAAAAAAATGGGGATGTAAACGAATGAGGCTAAATCCCATACAAGCCTAAGTTGTAAAATTTGCACCTGCGTAGGAAAACACATCACATTTGTATATACGCATAGGTTACATATTCTTATAAAAATATAAGTAACGTCTGAAAGGACGTGTGAGAAAAACTTGTGCGGGAAGTGCTGATCTTTTAAGATGCTATACTTCCCTTTTTTGACTGAGAAGGAAAAGTGGGTCAGGTAAAAACAGCAAAGAACGAAAGATGAAGATTAATTTGTCCCTCAACAAAAAAAGTACAGGCGACGGGGCGGAACAACGGACGGGTCAGGAGGAAAGCACATCGAGTGGAGCATTGAAAAAGGAAAGTCGGGAAGGTTATCGAAAAAGGGACAAAGAGGGAAGGACCACAACCAAAGAGAATAATGTGAAGAACAATGTAGGGGATTTTTTTGTGAACACAGATGATGAAGAGGAAACATACGAACTGGAGAACAACCAAAATAAAAAATTAAATGAAGAAAAAAATAAACAAATCCAAAGTGAAATAAGAGAATATATTTACGAGCATGAAAATCCGGGGGAAAGAAACACAAAGGAGGAATTAAAAGTTGATCACACAGACAAGAAGAAGAAAATTCGCTACCTGGGTTATAGGGGTGAGGAGTTGACGAAGCTGCATGAGGATAGAACGAACGGGTTGCAGGGGAAGAAGCAGTATGGCCCATTATATACGGAACTGGGACAGAGCGGAAGAGACCATCGGGGTAATGACAGGTGGGGGGAGAAACGATCGAAGGAATATTTGCCGCAACCTCCAAGTGAAAGAAAGAAACATAGAGAGAGGGAAGACGCAGACGAAGCCAAGGACGAAATGGAGAAGGAAATTCGTATCGATGAAATATTTAATAAAAGGGAGAGCGACCAGAAGGGCAAGTCCAAATACATGGACGCTCTCATCGGTAGTGCCAAACGAAGGGAATTGGAAAGAGAAATGCTAATTCAAAAAAAACTCAAAATTGATACATCCAAGGAAGAAAAGGTTTTTATAACCAATGCGTATAAAAAAAAAATTATGGATAGGAAATTAATTATGAAGGATATGGAGCTGGAACAGCATCAGGTGAAGGATGAAAATCGGCAGTCCAACTTCAACTTGAATTTGTTTCTTAAAAACATAAATGCACCGTCGAATTATAATCGGTCGAATAGGCGTCCCCATTATGAGAAGTAAAATTGGGGGGCACAGGAATTTAACGTCATATACATTCACCCGCGTGTGTGTGTAGGGACATATTTGACGAAGGGGGGAAATGCACATGCAAGAAGAGAATGGAATTACGGCAAACAATACGTAGCATGTGTACAAAGGCATATGATGGACGGATAAGGCAAGAAAAAAGGGAAATAAAAAAGGAGCCAATTAAGACAAGTTCCCGCGCAAGCGAATTTGTTTTCTCTTGCCCCCCTGAGGATCACTCTACGCGTGAAACGTGCCAAAGAGAATGATCAGGTCACTCCTTATTTTCCTTGTACAAAATTTTGACGAGGATGTAATTTTTCCAGGGGCCTATCCGATACCCCAGTGGCTGAATGCGGACAATGTCTCCGATCTTTGCTTCGCTCTTTTCGTCATGGGCCCAAATTTTTTTTGTGTACCTGAAGGTCTTCTTGTACCGAACGACGTACATGTACCTGTAGGGCGCATGCCGATTGGGGGTGATGTAAAATGTGTGCTGTGTACAATGTGCACTATGTAACATTTTTGACATATAATTTTATTTTATTTTTTCTTTTTTTTTTAATGTGTATGTGCATTTTTTATGCACAATGGGGGGAAACCCTCCAAGGACACCCCCCCCCTTGTCCTCATTTTTTTCGTGTGCCTATTTAGGGGTAATATGCTGCTGTGTTGTCTTCATATTAAGGCCTTTTGTGTGCGGCATATGTTTTATCCCTTTTTTTTGGTGTTTATCTGGACCGCGACTCGGTAGGTAAAGACACTTTCCCCCTTTGTGGATACTCACATGTGAGGGCATGCGTGTGTGTGTCCCTTAACCCTCCGAGGCGCGGCTCCACGTATCGCTGCACTATGCTAACCTGTCGCATGCAACTCGTATGCTCTTGGGATGCTTGTCGTTGATGACGTAACCTATCATTTCATTGTTCGCTAAATTGTTTTTAATAACTTTAGTGGGTTAAAAAAAAAAGGGGGAATATCATATGTGGTTGTAGGGGAAAAGGGACGTTTAAAAAATGTAAGCATGAAAATGAACAAATAATGGAGAGAAAAAAAGGTCTCATGCAATCGTGAAAACAAAAAAAAGTTAAGTAATAAAACAGCACATTAGCAAAGTATTAACAGGGTGTAATTAAAAAAAAATATGCTATATGATATGCACTGGAGATTTAAAAAAACATGGCGCAGTGGTAGCTGTCTGAAAAAATAACATAACAAACAACAACTAACGTAATTGGTTAGTCTATTCTTCGCCATTCATATAGACATAATTGTGTGTAGCGAGCCTTTGCGTTGTTGGCTTCACGGTGTGAACATATTTAAAAAAAAAAAAAAAAGGTATATTACATGTTCTCAAATACCCAGCCGTAGCACGTTGCCAAGCTTTGTAATGCCAGTAGGAATATATACCGCTGAGTTTTATCATTTTTTCCCCCTTTTTTTTTCTGTTTCTTCTCCCTTGCCCGTTTGCATGCTCCTCGCGGTTGGCGTAGCGTATGTGGTGCAGCGCATTCGCTGTGTAGGTGTACCCTTACGCTCGCTTCAATGGGCTCATTTCCTTACGCATGTGGATCGCCCCGACGATGATCGGAACGAAGCATGTCCACAAAAGCGCTCTATACTCAACCCGAATAAGTGGCTCGCAGAACTTTTAAGGAAGGAGCGCGTTGTTCAGTTGGTGCGCGCACACAACTGACGCCATGTATATATGTGTATGTGTACACTTCGCTCCTTTACGTTGGCCCTAAATATTTGGCCATTTCGAAAGAGGGGAAAAAATAAAACGCAACACTTCTTCCGCTAACACATGGGTAAAAGATGACGCGCCAGAAAACGGGAAAAGTCCAAAGATGTTGCGTGCGGAAACGGAAAGCCTTCCCGACAGGCACTACAAATTATATTGAGAAAAAAAAAAAAAATGCAAATGTAAATATACATGTGCGCAAGGTACGTATGCGGAACGACATATGGTAAAATTCCCCCAAAAGGTGGCAACAAAAAAATTGTGGCAAAGGTATGCTGTGTTTATTTCGCACGTTGGCCTATTATGCATACGATTGCAAATGATGGTTTTGCGTTATATGTGCAGTTGAAAGAAAATGTTGCCATGAGGATAAAAAATTGTTTCCGGTTATATGTTTTTTTTTAACCTTAACTAAAACTGCATTCCTGCGTTCAGTTAATATATCTATTCATGTGAATTTTAATTTTTTTTTTAAACAATTTTTTTATCGTTTAATTAGTTTAGCAGTGTTTGTAGAAAGATTGTAAGAGCCTTGTTATAGTGATTAAGAGTCACCTGTATAATTTTTGCCTTTTTTTTGCCATTTTTTTTTCCACCCCATCCTACGCAACTGAAACTAGTACAAGATGTTTTACCCAGGAATGTTTCGAGAGAAGCCCAAGGACGTAATTTCGGACAAGTGGAAAATCATTTTGAGGGTTTCGGGTTTCCTCGTGTCATGTTATTTGATCTGCTTCCATGGGGACTTATTTGATATACCAGAAAATAACAAGCTGTCGTAGGAAGTTGCTTTCTCCCACGGGGGAGGCAACAGCACAACGAAGTCCACGTATCGTGGGCATGTACGTATATATATAAATAGGGAAGGAACAGGAGATGACTACAGATACAAACATGGGAGAAATATAGAGGACGAGGAATCCCTGTGGAACGAAGACGCAACCATGTGCCAAGTCACTGGGCAAGCATAACTCGACTGCGTTGACGCATGCCAGTATGTGTGGCCTTGTGCATGAGAGAAGCCTAGGACGGGGTACGCGCGTGTGTCCCGCTGAACAGCAGTACGTGGCATCTTAAGTGTACGCGTTCATGCAACAAATGTTGCGTTTTTACACGTTTCCGTTTTGCTGTTTCACCCTTTTTTAAGGGTTGAAACACACCTCTTTTTTCAAAGCGCACAGCGTGCAGGCGCACTTCCTTTTTTTTTTTTTTTTTTTTGAAACAGTGTTGTATTTCTTTGTACCATTAAGCAACATAACGCTTCGGATTGAAGTAAAATTTTCATTTTTTTTTTAAAACATTATATACATATGAATTACAATTTATTCTTATATTGGAGGGCAAAACAGGGATGTGCATTTTGAGAAGTTTAATGAGGTGCACAGGAAGATGATGAGGGATAGAAAAAGAAAAGTGCGTTTTATTTTACTCAGAGCGGAATTAAATATGGTGACTAATATTCCGCATATGTATGCGGTGAGTTGTAAGAAAAATATATGAGAATAAAAGGCAGGGAGAAATCAAAAGAAAAGAAGGGAAAATGCAACGGAGCAGAAAAGACATACAAAACGGAAATCCACATGTACTGTTCATACACATTGGATTGGAACAAAATGGGTTAAGTTGGACATTCGGGGAAAGAAAAAAAAAAAAAAAATTAAAACATAAAAAGGTTAAAATACTAAAAAAAAAATGGTGTGGAGAGGGAGGAAATGAAAAAAGGGGAAAAAATATATGTACATGATAAAATGCCCAAAAAAATTCATTCAGTGATACAAAATTTGTAATGTGACGTGGTGCTGATGAGAAATCACATCAACACACATGGATTGTAGTCCCTCTCTTTCTCCTTCTTTGTTTCTCTTTCTTTGTTTCTCCCCCTGCACAAATATATATATGTTGATGGGAACCCCCCGCCGCACAAGATTGTGTAAATTACACATTGCAGTGGCCAGGCTAGACAAATTTGTAATTTTTCACACACTTGAAAAAGTACACATAGAGTTCCTCGTAGGTGCTCGTTGATAACATGTCTTCATTAACCTTGTCATATATGTACTTTGAAATTCCCATGTAAATTCTTTTAGCATCAGATCGTTTGAGTTTTTCAATTATGGCGACGACGTCAAAGTGCAGATTATGCGTCAACTTTAAGAAATGCTTATGACTGAAAAGAAGCTGAAGCTTTTTAATTTTGTCCAATATGACATGAAAGGAATAGTACACATAAATAATCCTGGGGCTGTTAAACATATTTAATAAATTCCTGTACTTGACGTAAAAGCCAAACAAAAAAATGTCCTCGGAATGATAAACTTTCTTGTCATCACATGTTAGCAGTGCTCGAATTACAAATTTGTAAAAATTTAATGAAAAGGTGAATATAAAATTATTTATTAATTTTTTTTTTAATATTTTTCTCAAACTTTGCAAATTATTGGAAACTTTTTTAAAATACAAAATATATTTGTCCTTAAAAAAGAAATAATTACACATACAAAAAAGATGTTTGGGGATCTTAAATGTTTTTGTCATGATTTTCAGTTTTTTTAACAATTCGTAATCTTTTTTCAATGCTTCAAAGATGGACTTGATGTTCATTCTGTACTCTAGGATTCTTGAGCAATCGTCGCAGAAAATATGCGTTTTTCTTACGGCTAGGAATTCTTCTCTGATTTGAACGAGGTCTTCTTGCGGTTGGTTTTGCGAGTGGAACGACACGTTGTCGTCCGTGTCCTGCAACGACATGCCACCGACGGTGCTTCCTCCTCCCAACGAGGTGCTATCGTTGGCGTCTCTGATGACGAGGGAACCTTCCGTGTCTTCCATGGAGAAAGAATCGTTATGATCTCCCATGGAGGAATCCTTCGAGTCTTTCATCGACATCGCATCGCTCTTCCCCTCCAACGGAAGGTTGTCAATACTTCCACGCCGCGAATGGGCGTCCGCGTTATCCTCCTTGCGCACATCATTGTCCCAATCATCACCACGGTGTTGACCCTTGAGGGAGTCACAATCTAATTCGTGATAATCTTCGGTAGAATCAGGCCTTACTTTTGTCCTCTTCTGTGGTGGTTCCCCCAATTCGCCAGCCCCTCCTCCCTTAGGGGGTTCATCTGTAATGGGTTTACCACTACTATCTTCCTCGTTTACGTGCAAGTTACTCTGCCCCGATTTTATAATATGATTAAAATAATTTAAAAGCAATTTATTTGACACTGTTAAATTAATTTTCTCTGCAAATACACATAAGGAATTCCTGTCAACTTTCTGTTGACAAAATATGCAAATGGCATTTAAGCAGAATTGGAAATATACAGAAACCCAAGGGGCATCAAAAATGGAATAATATTTTCCATGAATTTTGTACAGCTGAAAAGGATCAAATCGTGTAATCCTATTTTTAACCACAACTTGATTATTTTTTATTTTTAAAAATCCATTTTTAAATTTTTTTTTCAAGTCTATTATTTCATGGTAGAGATGCATGTATAGCCAAATATGTTTGAACCGTCTGCTTCCTTCATTTTGGTAGTTTGTGTTGTGTAGCGGTCTCTTCCCTTTTGAGTAAAATTTAACATTCAAGCATTCCCTAATTGATCGCAGGTTCCCAACTTTTTTTACGTTCTTTCCGTAGAAGTTGTTGTACTTTTTTTTTTTTGATTTTGATTCTGATTCTGTCTTTCGCTCTGTTGCTTCCTCGAATGGGGGCTGCCCCAAATCATTCGTGCGGTCTTCTTCGTAGGTCACCAAATCGATTACTTCCCCGTTTGAGTAGGGCTCATTTTGTGTAACAGTGTTACTCCAATTGGCATTCCCCTCATGTGTTTCGTTTTCCTCGAAGGGGCTACGCCTATCATTTTGGTTCGCACTTAGGTTGGATATAGGTATAGATGAAGAGGGTGGTGGTGGTTCTCCTTCATTCCTTTCCGCATTGTTCTTTACTCCTGAATTTTTCTTCTCCTCTTCCCCTGTGTATTCCTTGTCCAGCAATATGGACAGACACTCATTCATAAAGTACAAGTTGGTCTTAACATTAATTCTGAGCGAAATGATTAAATTTTGAATCTCCAGTATGGTCAAAAATTGGGATATTTTTATTATGATAATTTCATTGTGTAGCAAATCTTTTATATTCATCTCTTCCGTTTGATTGTAATCGAAAAGGTTTTTTTTTCTTCGGTTGGTTGTGGTGAAGTGGATTATGCATGCTATGCATATTCCGCCGGAAGGGTGTTAAGCTATCTTTATGCATGTGGATTTTATGCGACTGTATGTTCTTCTGGACATGCGACCGTATGCGTACACTGTTTTATATACATATGAGCAGCATACGGTTGAAGGAATTCCAGTTTATTTTTCGGGGGTTGGAAAAAAAAAGGCCCAAAAATGAAACCCACATCCGACCATTTCGTACTCCTTAAAATGCTTTATTTTAGTTTTCAAAAAGGCTTCGTACTGTGGCGGCTCTTTCTCGTTTTCATGGGAAGTTTTTATTTATTTATTTTTTTTACCATAGGAGTATGAACGTACATGAATGTATGGTTCTACCTCAATTCGGTTCGGCGTTTTTTCCCTTGTCCCCCTATGTTTCTTTAAAACATGGATAAAAAAGCATACGCTTATGCGAAGGGGATGAAGAAAATGTTATCAAGTCACGACAGCGGTAAGTGATGGAAATATGCTTTTGTACACTTCCCCTTTTCTTGCCCTTTGCCGTGAAGCTGATTTTAGTGGGTCAGGCCGGGGCGCCCGCGCCAGTTCGGTAGATTTATGCAGAAAAAGGCCATTCTATAGAGCGGTATATAACAATATAACCATGTACGTATATGTGAGGAAAAACATGCGCACAATTTTATGCTATATTGAATTTCGTCGTTGTAGTTTCAAAAAAAAAAAAAAAAAAAAATT